AAGATCGGTGTGCCATGATTATCCAGTTTTCGCATGACATCTAACCCGTTTCTTGTCATGCAAACTCTGCGAATGGCTAGGACGCGAGATGCACCAGTGGCACTGGGACAGAACAAAAAGTCTTCGGAACCGTTTTCGGTGTTCTTCTCCGTGAAGAACTCTTCTCCATAAAGGGCCTCTCCGATGACATCTTGAGCCAAGTGGCGTTGTTTTCCATTCAGATGAGTACCCAGCTTTTGGTCGACGAGGTCCCGAATATTCGGTAGCATGCCCTTAAAGTTGATGCACTGCTCAAGGAGCGAGGTAGTTGTTCGAGTCGGCTGTTTCACGCGGATTCTTACGTATGCTAACCAAATGCTGTTTGCATCTATTTCCATCTCGTCTGGAATTTTTCCTACACGCGCCATAACAAACTCTTGGCACAAGCTCTGAGCGACACGGAACCGATGATTCCCTTTGATACAAAAGTAGATACCATGCCAGTGCAATGCATCGGCTGGCTCGTGATCTAAAACGCCGTGGATAGCAGATGACAGGAGTAGACGTCTGAGATTATCCATATCCACTTGGCGACGAGCACAGGTGAGTACACAACGACTCGTTTGGATCAGCTTAGCTTTCGCCCCTCTCCTGTACATATCCTTGACAGCGGCTTCAACGATGCCTAGGTTTTGCATGTTTTGTGGTGCTGATGGCGGGGTTTTAGGCGTTAGGGGGATTAGGGACCCGAAAAGAGTGTTAACAACCAGGGACTTGCGATGAAGGGATTAGGGGGATTAAGGATCCGGAAAGAGTACTAAGACAAAGGGATTTGCGGAGTGCGAAGGTCGTTATTTCTCGCAACGAGATTGAAAACAGGGGATGCAGGGAAAGCTTGTCATTTTGAGGTGTGCAAGCTTGTCGTTTTGAGCTATGCAGGGGGTGTCGTCCTTTGAGGTATCCCTAGGTAAATTGCCAAAAGAAATGATTTCCACTTGTGGTTAAAAATTCATTAATTGACAACCAGTCAGGGCCATTCCATTCATCGTGATTGGCAATCATGCAATCACGCAATCACGCGATCACGACATTAATTTAACGTCGTTCTGCATCGTTCCTTTCTCCAACGTGTGCTACTTGTAGCTGTAAGCACATGTCCACGGCTTTGCATATGCATGTGTTAACGCACTTCTTGCTTATTTGAATGGGGTTTAAATCTTTTAGAATTGCAAGGAGCATTACAGAAAGTTGGAGCACAAGATTAATTTTAAGTCGATTGGTTATTTCTTTAATGAGCATGACCATTTTTTAGGAAACGTAATATAAACAACCAACCACAAGGGAGCAGGCACCATTTATTGACGTGATTGCGTGATTGCGTGATTGCATGATTGCCAATCACGATGAATGGAATGGCCCTCAGTTGTGTGGTGAGCATACGCGCATACGGTACGGTACATGCAGATACGTAAAGATACTTTACTTATACTGGCCGAGGGAGTCGCTTTTCCTTCTCTGCGTCGTTGTAAATGTTTGCCTCACCCCGATCTGCGCATTCCACACTCATTCTCTCTCAGCCGAGTACGAGAACATTCGAGAACATACACCGCCGCCCCCCACCGTCGCCGCCGCCGCTATCACATTAGAAGACAATGTCGTCTCCATCTCCGTCCACTCCCGTTTGTGGTATTCGTTCTGTGCTTGACTCACCCATCATCCAAGACCGTAGCGAGAGCGGTCCTGATCGTTTCGGGCAGTCCATAAAATTTTCTAGACAAGCATTCCTGGACTCAGCTGATTGCAATTTCATAAGAGGCCCAGGTCGTCTTCACCAAGAAATGCAAGGGCAGCAGCGGTTAGACGTGAACAAGTTTACTTTTGCTGAGCAAATCAACGTTGAGCACATACCTTGGCACTCCAGCGCTGGCAGAAATAGACGTTGTGGAGACGAGGGTTGGGAGTCTGTGGCGGATTCTGTTCCAAGAACTGTGCGCGACTCTCATTTTGTTCTAGGAAAATGGGCGTAGGAAAACACTCGAGAAGAAGTAGTCGTTGAAGGGGAGTCGCTTCCGCTACGAAGAGTCCATCGCGTTTTACAGGATAACCGCATACAAGCTGTGGTCGATCGAATTGAAATACCAATGGGTGTGTTTCTGCATTCGAACCTGTTGCTCAACGACGAGACTGCACGCTCACGACTCGCCGATCAATTAGAATATCTCACGTCTCTCAAGTCGTTCGCAAGGGCATTGTGTCCGAGATTTGTAGTAATCGATATTCAGGTCTTCGAGCTTCCGAGTGTACGTTTACACCATTTTTCGCAGTACTGGGTCCACTGCACTGTTCATGCAGTACCGTTATTTCTGTTATGACAAGGGGAGGTATTCTAAGTGAAGGTCAAGTTACAAGGTCGAATGCTCAACAGACGTTTGGGTTTTTGGAGTTGGGAAGTATTTCTCGGGAAGAGATTGTGGCAGAGCCCCCCTGTTACAGCGATGAGGCTGTGAGCGTATTTATGAGGCCTTCTCTTTCTGATCCGGTTACGTTTGTCCGTGACGGAGGCTTTGCTGTGTTTGACTCGGGGAAGCACTACTTCAAGTTTGGCACTGGATCACTCAACGGTGCAGTGGCGGTACTGTTGTTGCGCATTTGCGATTGTGGAAACTCCAAGTTGTCTTCCGAACCAACCGAAGAGATGAAATTCGTTTGGGAAGAAAACATTCTGCGATACAAACGACATGCATTCCTCGCAAATGGGATCTTTGGGCAAGGGAACCCGTTCTGCCCGCAGAATGTGCCACGGCTTTGCGGTAGTATTCCAGATTCCCCGGAGTTACTTGCATAGAACACGCCGCCGCGACCGAAAATCAAATTCGAGTCTTGTGAAGGAAGGATTCAGAAGGGACGAAACTTTTTTCAAAAGTCCGTTGGAACTCCTGTTTTTCTACTTGCCGAAGTGTCTAATCTGGTGAATGGCGACCACTGGGAGGAGGTGTGTGGCATTGGAAGAATTGTTCAAATCCTATAATGAGAATGAGAATAATGGTTACGTTCGAGTTCATGAACAACAATTTGACATGCCGTTTGTTCTTGTGCAAGTGAAAGTCTTGCGAAGAGCTACAGGCATCGTTCCGTTTGCCACTGTGTTCCGTTACAGCACAGGGTATAAGGTACAATTGATGAAGGACCTTGTGCCGTCAACTGATGAGATTTATCCATGGGATGCTTCTTTGCTCCAAGTTCAATTGTTTTCCACCACGGAGATAACCAGGGGTGACACGCTCTTTTCAGCTATGTTAAGCGCTCGGTACCTCGTGACACGGGGAGCAGAAGATGAAGAAGAAAGTTTGCGTAGTTTTGAAAAGTAAAATACTCTTTTCACTATGATGTTTTAATCGTGCGACGGCCGATCATACCTGTGTTTGGATAGTGCTGTACCGAACAAAGTCTGGCATGCATTTCGTCATTTGTCTCCTTGTTCTACAGTAATCCAAACTGTGCGCACACAAAATGAATTTTTGTCATAACGCGAAATTGGACATGCGATGAGCAACTGTAACTAATGTGAAACGTTTCCAGGCAAACACCTGTAATTAATGTGAAAAGTCTCCAGTCAAACAACTGCAACTGTACAGTATTGAATGTGAATGTGTAAGTCTCCAGGCAAACAACTGCCAGGGGCGTACTCCTCCCGTACTGTCTCCCTCCGGCCGGTTTGTTTACCTCAAATAGTGCTAGTTGTACAAGCCTTCTGAGACCAGCGCCACTCCTTCTTCGCGACATGAGCTCCCCGCCCCTCACGTTTTCAGGAACTTTCGTACTCAACCCTGACCCGGTCCCTGCGTCACAGACCCAGTGTTCTTTGCCAGCTTCGTCATCATCTCTGTCTCCATGTATCTCTCCGCCTTCATCCCCGTCACTATTGCCGTCGCCTTTGCACGCTTCCTCCACCTCATTCGGCCATTTACACCTCACGCCGAGCACGTTTGCTGACTATCTCAACTTACCACATCGACCCGGCGAGTGTTACGAACTCATTGACGGAATCCTATACTATCGACCCGACAACATGAACGATCTTCATCACAAACACATTCAATCCGTGCTTGTTTCCGTCTTTAATGTGGCCAACGCCGAACGTCCAGATGCTGAGTGGGTGATGGCCTACTCGGAAGCAAGAGTAGGAATCAGGCGAAACTCGCACGCTGCTTCTCAGCCCTCGGCCTCCTCGTCACGTGGGCCTGGAGGATCTTGCCTCATCGCGGACGTGGCTGTTGGACGGCATTTTACGCCTGAGGATCAAGCAAATATGTCTCCAACTTCGAAGAAGATCAACTTCCCGCCGGGCAGACCCCCTGCAATGGTCGTCGAAGTGACGAGTAGCAACCGCGTCGAAGATTTGACAACCAAAGTGGGGGAGTATGCACGCGCCGGGGTTCCGGAGTATATCGTAGTTGATCGGGAAAAGTCCAGGGTCATCGTCTTCAAACTAAAAGAGGACAAGAACGACAAGAAAGGAACCAAATCGCACCGCTCGTCGCGAATCAATAGTGCAGCTGACGGAAACGCAGCAAGGACGTATCAAAGTCAACGATACTATTCCAAGGATCAAACCGTGGAGGCTGTGGCGTTTCGTGACCTCAAGCTTACTGCAAACGACCTTCCGCATCCCCAGAAGAGCAGTGCTCGCCTAATCGTATCTCCGCTCCGCAAAAAAGACAAGAAGATCTCGAAACTCACCAAAGAGAGAGATGAAGCCACCAAAGAGAGAGATTAAGCTCGCAAACGCATACAAGAAGAGAGAGATGAAGCTCGCAAACGCATACAAGAAGTGAAGAACGAGAACAAGCGCTTGCAAGAACTTGTAACGCAGAGATCGAAGCAGGAACGTGCAGGTGATGAGAGCCCGCAGCCAGGAGCGGAAAGTGGTAATCGCCAGAAAGGCAATGGAAGTCCTGTAAAGGAGGGATCGAATCGGGGACGTGCAGGTGCCGCGGAAAAGGGTAAGAGCCAGAAACGGGCTAGAAGTCCTGATGGAGGAAGCAAATCCCGTGGGAGTGGTTCGAAGACCAACAGTCCGGACAAAAGAAGGCCGAAAAATGGTGGAAGAAGCAGTGAGAAAGCATGCAAAGACGTAGGGAAAGGTCTCTGCTTTGGGATGGTGGCGTAATTTGCAGGCTGTGCACGCAGCTGTTACAGGTTACAATACAGTGTCTTTGATTAGGCCGACTAAAGCTAGCCATTGACAACAATAGAAGGAAGTGCCGCAAAGTCGCAAGAACCATTACTCAGATTGTTTATGTTTTCCATAAACGCATTTCTTTGAGTCACAGGCTTTGCAAAAAGGTAACGGATAGGTATTACGATAAAATACGATACGGGTCCATGTGCTCACTGATGGTTTACGATAGGCTTAATGCTGCAATCAGTAGGGGTTCGTTTTTTGTTTAAGCCTTGGGGGGTCTGTTCAAGAATGAGGGGGACCCCCTTGTAGTGGGCCGCAACTTCCCCCAACCAAGCTGCTTCCCTGTCCATCCACCTCACGCCCGGCCTGATCGTCCACCCTGCGTCCGCAACTGGCGGCCGCGACCATCACGATCCCTCCAACACCCTGCATTCCACCCCCTACTCCTACTTCGGTCCCCTGACCCAAGTGGGCTGCCCTCTGACAGGGCATCTGCCCGTGCTGTCCCCGCGCGACAGTGTCTCCCTTTCTACGCTCGCTCGGTCCGACCATGTTCACATATGGCACGTGGCATGTTTCCGCCACGACAGTAGTGTACACTGAAAAAAGTCGATACAAAAGCGTGAAGACGTTCCGACCTGATGCGACAGTCATGTGGTGAAGCAGACCAGACGATTTTCAAAAAAGCCATGAAGAGAATCAAAAGTATTGTGTAGATGCTCCTCAAACAAACGAATGTATTTTGGCAGAAGGAATGGGCTAATTGTGAACGTTGGAGAGCAGCTGCGCGACACAAATACACTTGTTCTTTACTCATTTCAGTAGTCTACTTGCCGTTGTTATTGCAATATATCCACGGGCCATCACACTTCATCAACCGCTCCCACCAGGTTCGCATTTGCCCCATTGGCTTGTCACCGGCGCCTCCCGCCACCCTTTGTGACTTGATGCGCTCGAGTATCATTCCTGTGTGACGCGGATGGATTTTGCCCGACTGACACTGGCTTTTTTGCCCACACCACCCCGGGTGAGTATGGCCGTGATGTGCACTCTTTCAATCCCTTGGCAGAGGATCCGCGGGGCGCACTGGTCTCCTTCTGTAGCGGCGGAGCCTTCTGCCGCAGCGGAGGGAAGTCCGCTTCACAAAACGGCGATCTGTCTTTGGGCGCCTCAGCCCTTCTGTACCTGTCTCGAGGATCGTGGTGGCCGTCTCTTCTGTTCCAACGCCGCGAACGGTGCGGTCCCTTTCGTTTTGCATTGCAGGACTGGTCGAGATCCATTGAACGAAAACGTTCTTGTGTTGTCCTCCAACTTGAGATGTCGTAAGCAACCTTTGGAGCTGTTTGAACTGAAGTCTCGACGCTGCGACGACAGCGACCCTTCGCTTCGTGCCTGAGTTGTATGGCCTTGGTATGAAGTTGCACTCCTGCAGTGGATGTATTCATATGGCCACGATTCGTACTCGAGTTCTCATCCGAGCTTACATCCGAGGCCACACGCTCGATTGAAGCCCCCCTTCGTTTGCAGTAGTGACCTTGAGAGCTGCGATGAACTTCGATCCCCGATTGTCGTCCGTGCGTCTCTATTCGATGAGCTGTGAAGTGATCCAACCGAATCGAGCTATGATGCCCCAGTGTAGGAGGCATTCGCAGGCTGGGGTCTTGGTCAGCGAAATATCGCTGCTCCACACGGCGATGAGGCACCCTTGTGGCCGTCGGCTTTGAGCACAGGTTTTCGTTGGGGTGAATCATCTGCTGGGGCCTTTCGGGAACAGGTCTAGATTGCGGTTTCCGCGGTGCCTCCATTTGCGGGGTCGCTATCGTGAGGGCCTCATGCATGCGTTTGACGGGCTCGTTCAGGTAATGACTGGCTTGCAATGTCACAGCTGAAGGATCTGTGTTACCTTCTTCCACTCCCAGCTTCTCGAGCGAACATTCTGCGACATATGGGCAGCCATGTCCGTGACGGCGGGGACTTGTCTCGCCTTCCGTAATGGATTCACTTGAGAACGACATAATGTTTGACAATGGCTGCCGTGTGGGCTGCATTGCCTGCGGTGAAGCTCTGTCCAACTCTTCCTGGTGCTGGCAGGATAGATGCCCATTGTTCCCCGTTATAGTCGAATTCTCAGGATGCATTGAGATGTGCGGCATGAAGGTGTTGACTCGATCCTGTGACGCCTCCATGGGAAAAGAACCAGGCGGCAGAAAGTGCGGTTGCCTGACATTGGCTGAAACGATGAATTGCTCAGTAGAAGAGGCATACTGCGGTGGAAACGGGACCCCAATGTTGTGAGGATAACCCTGCTGCTGCGCCGAATTGGGTTGGAAGTCGGGTATGCATGGCACTGGCTGCGAGCACGGGTGCATTGCGTGGAAGGCGTGCGGCGGGCATGGAGACTGGAGTGAATCGGGTAAGACATAAACTGGTTGCGACCTGAGACGGATGAACTTGTGAGATGTGTCCACCTCAAGTGCGTGAGAGAAAGCAACAAGTGCTCTGGCAACGTCGAGCGGATCTGAGACTCCTAAGAGGGCCATCCTCGGCCAACTGCATACCTCAGCGAGGAGCACCCAGCCATCGGCACCCATAATGTCCTGCAGGTGGCGATCCTGAGGGAGATTGAAGGGGCTGAAATAGAACTCGACCTGCATAAGGATAGCGATCGTGTGTGTGTAAAAAGACATGTTGAAATGATAAAGATGTCCGTTTGTAGAGGTGGGACGGAAAGAAAGGTTCTTGGATCGACTGCAAGACTGATGTGGAAGGTTGTTGTAGGTAGTGAGGCGAAGGCTGCGGGTAGGTTTTCAGCAAAGATACTTTGTCTTGTTTGATTCAAAGCAAAGTTGAGAGTTTTGCACGAAATGTATGCAAGGAGAAACGTTGAGAGAGGGTTGGAGAAGTTATAGGAACGTGTGGAATTCGGAAGTGCGGATGAGATGAGGCAGAGCAAGTCAAAAGATTTGTTTGTGTGGGTGCGGCAGAGGATGACAAGAGGGAAGCAAAGGGAACTGGTGGTATTTATGTAAGCTGGGGAGAGAATGCAGAGGTTTAGGCAGGAAATGGCTGCAAGATGATGAAGGGGCGGCAGGAATACATCTGTTGAGGAGAGACGCGTAAGGGCAGATTGTATTGAGGGAGACTGGATTGCTTGTCAATTGCATATCAGCGATGAGAGGTGTTCAAGTGCAGTTGGTCGGGGCGAACACGGACGAATGATGGTAGACGAAGCGATCATGTCGGATTAATGTTTGAGAGGAAGCAGTGCTGAATACGGTGATGGAGCGGGCCGGAAGCCGCCCTCAAAGTTGTGACGAAATCTGGGATTTCGCGTAAGACGGCGAGAGAGGCCCTCTGCCCGATTGCGATGACAACTGAATGGCGACGGAGGGGGGCTTCCGGTTGAGTCTGAAGAGTGGTGAAGCATGAAGAATTCCTTAAAGTTTAAGATCTGGAGGGTGCTGGGAAAAGACAGCGAAGGAGACGCCAGTGGGAAAGACTTGCGTCACTATTCTGAATTAAATGCAGTGCGTTTCCACTTCTCTGTTTTGTGTCTCGGCATGCAGATCACGACTATAAGTAGAGTAGCGTTACAGGTACAGTATTGGGCGTTTCTCATTCTAAACCATAAGGCGATTCTATTCCCACCTCCCTCTCTCTCTTCTGTGTCGTTCTCATATTTTGCCTTGCATACTCACTGAGACCAGACTCTGTTACAGGGGCGGTCCATGCAACAGTCACTCAATTTCGTGGAGACATCCGGCCGTACTTAGCTTCGGAGCCGTGACGGCGAGGAAGCCAGCTTAACATCCTTCTTACGTGGTACGACTATTTCTTTTTAGTGTGGACTATTTGTCTTGCAGAGGTACTGAACGAGCCTCTGCCGTTTTCCGGGTATCGAGGGAGAAACATTTACATACATTATACGTACCAGAGGGCGTTGATAGGACACAGGTGCCAACCGTGGACTGAAACGTCGGTTTATATAATGTTCTTTTGGTAAATCCACGAGGCACAATAGCAGAGTAGTTGACTCTATTTGTGTTTCGCGATTTCCATCCATAATCTGAAAAAAGGCATGGTAGAACAAGTTAATACAGAGCAGAGTGAATGAAAGATATAGAACATGTTACTAAGTTGCCTGTAGAGGCTTAGTCCTAGTTCTTCTCTACAGCTCGAGGCGGTAAATCAGTTTCTCAAGTCGGCATACACCGCATTCTCCCAACTTTTCTAGTAACAGTTTTTGAGTCCTGTCGGCTCTGAAGAGATTTTCAACCCTCGACCTGATAATGGTCTTGTTCAGGCAAGGTACTGAATGACGCCAAGATGAGTCCATAAAGCAACTTATTGCGATGTTCGCACAACTGCATCTCTTTCGTCCTGTCCAAACCTTCTTTGAATATATAGAGGGCATTTAGTTGATGAATCTTCAAGCACTGCGGCGTTCCATTTGTGTTGGCGTTGTGCCTTTGGTGTAGGCACAACGCTTTTGCGGCAGGGACACACCGGGGTGGAGGGGATGCGTTTTGCTCCAATGACACGAGATCTTTCCCCTACTTGACTTGGCAACTGTGGGCGTCTGCGTGCCTTGCATGTCGTCTCAACGGGCTCTGTGCGAACAGAAATGAACAAGCCTACCTGGGTTGAACTGCGTTTCGTCAGGCCTAGACCTGTTACCTGCTCCGCACATCATAGGTCAAGCTTGCGATTTTGCACAGTGATAAGACATCTTGCACGTGTTTGGCATCTTGCGACACTTTTGTATGGTGGACGACAGGACTACTGGGGTATTGTGAACAGGTCGATGATCGTAGTGTAGCCATGCTGCCTTCTTTTCTAGTTTTCGTTTCTAATGAAAGCTGTGCATGTGCTTCGAGAGCTCGTTCGCTTAAAGATTAGGATTGTTATACTTACAAATGAAGTATGAAAGGCACTCATTCCTTGCTTTACTTTATAGAGATCTTGAACAGCTTGTTCTGTGGCCTTGACGAAGCCGTGCTCATTTGGTTAGTGAGTCTCGCCTTCCGCGACAGATCCGTTTTCCAACGCAGTGCTTGCAGCCGCAGGAATCGACAGTTGGGTAGAGTTTAGTTCAGCGGGGAGATTGCTTGCAAATCTTGGTGCAGTTGGTAGAACTACTGTTTAACACCCGACATTGCAATCAGGTCATATGCATCGCCCTCTTAAGCCGAATTGCACATGAACAATTGAAATTGCAGTCACTTGAACCGGGGCTACTGTCTTTCTTGAATGGCTGGGGAGCCCCGGCCATTGCACTGTCAGTAAAGACTTTCACGAGAGCTGTGGAAGGCGAGATGAGAATTCAAGAGGGGAAGACTAACACAGAGAGATATGAGAAGAGGGACGAGAAACGCCCTAACAGCATGGAAACAGTTTCCGCTCTCTCATATGTGCATGACGAGACAGCACTCTACACTAGGAGGTGGGGTCGCGATGTATCCGATTCAGCTTAGATAAGAAAATTCTCCAAAACTGCGAGAAGAGGAGAAGGGCCCATCTCTATAGAAAATATTGGGTTGCATGCCTCTCTTTGTATATTGACTCCTCTCTCTCTCTTTCAGCGCTTGTCAACCTTCAACCCTTCCACTTCATCAGCAACTTTACCACCATGTCATATCTTCACCATGATTGGTAGTGCTGCGTTCGTTTGCATCCTTTTGCTTTCGCCATCACACATGATGGCGAAAGCAGAAGGGTGCGTTTGCCACACTTATCATTTCTTCCGCCCCTTCGGCTTCCATGAGCACTCCCAAACCGGTTGCCGTCTCATTCTCGACACAGTGCTTTTTCCTTCCCGTATCAACTATCAACCCGTAATTTTCGTCGCTTGCGCTTCGTACGCTTCTATGCCTCGTCTTATCCTAGGCGATCAATGATGGCGGACAGAAGTCATCACGATTCAGATTAAGGTCACATTCCTCATCTTTCCATACCCACTCTCGATTGCCACTTCATCACGTTCCCTCCGAAACCAAAGTCCATGTTCCTCCGCACAATCATTTAAGGACCTCCCGTTCGTTCCGGAGCTTCCCCACAGACTCTCACAGCAAACAAAGCCCAAGCCCTCGACTTCACATTTGAACCCGTTTCACGCCTTTCTCCCTCAGCCTGTTTCATCTACACCACATAACTGTACCAAGCACCTCTCGAGCACTACTACAGCAATTCCCAACCACTCGGTTTCTTGCTTTTGGTTTGCATTACGGGGCATAGTCATCTACTGCTACTCATTCGCATCATATTTTGACTCGAGCCAAGGCCATCTGTTGTGCTACTTTTCTTCACTCTGAAATACTGCTTCAGAACTTTACTCGAGAAACCGTATCCTTGCTGAACCCCAAATTCGGCTTTCAAACATCATTTTTTCCCACCTCTGCTCTACTCTAGCTCATTTTCTAGACACCGGTTTCTGACCAGCCTGCCTCTTCTTCGCATTCTGCTTCACAAAAGTTACCCTCACCGACCTTCACATAATCATCCCTTCCACCCACCACAGGCAGCTTCTTTCAAACATGTTTTCTATTCAACACACAGTTGCAGTCGTGGAACAAATTGAATTCTACTTTGGCCCCTTTAATCTCTCGCAAGACCCCTACCTCCTGAGCATAATCGGTGCTGATGGGTGGGTCCTGCTGGCCGAGATTTGCAGCTGGCCAAGAATGGCGCAATTGGGCGCCTCAGACCCCTTTCAGGTTGCCAGGGCTATTGTCTCCTTTTCGCTAGCGCTTGACGTGGACGCCTCATTCCAGTTTGTCCGCTTGAGGGGGAACCCGGCTTTCATAGTACCTGGGCCGTTCGTATCCTCAAGGCACCAGCCCCAACTCATCGTCCCCCGACATCCGCTGGCACAACACTCGCCTTACCCAGACTTCTGTGGATCACCACTCCCCCCACATGGTCACATTGGACATTCAGAGAGCTCGGGGACTACATTTCAACATCAGTACCCCGTGTGGCCGCAATCGCTGACTATGCCGTCCTGGTCAGTACAGCTTCCCGGCCGGCAACCTGTTACCAGCCCCACGGAAAATTCAACTCAGTTTTCTGATGCATGCCCCTCGACGAAACTGCAGGCTCGTGCTGGAAGCCCTGACTTGTCACACCAAGTTGCAGAGCTTCCATGTCAACCGGGACATTACTTGCCCGGCATCCATTTGCAGAAAGAACCATCTGCGCTGGCGGCAGCAACAGTAGATGATCCAAATCAAGGTGATTGCCAGGTGGAGAGACTACATTCCCCCCTCTCTGAGCACAGGTTAAAGTGCTGTATAGAAGAGGGAGCTAGTTCCGCAAGGAAGACTTTGCAAACGGCAGCAAGAAGCAGAGATGCTGCACGTGGAACGAAAACCAGCCCCCACGCGCCTGACCGAAGAATGCAGATGAACGGCGACACTAGACTGCTCCGCCATGAAGCCGTGAGAGATGGGCGGCACATAGAGCGAGGGCGCAGTCAAGATAAGCGGAAGCAACTGTTGTCATCAATTGGGCACAAGGGGTCTCAGAGAGATAACTTGCAAGTGCATGCCCACTGCCCTGGAGCAATCGAAAAGATGGCGTCCGACGTAAGCTCGGACGAAAATGATGCTAAGCGTCTTGGACAGGTTCGCACAACCGGACTGCGGCTCCGATGTTCGTCAACACATCACCGGCACAGTGAAGGTGCTGGCCTTCAGAGCTGTGAAGTGCACTCCTGTGGACCTCCTCATGACATGAAACATATCAGGTGCATGCCCGATTCGCACCAACCGTTCATGGGCGCGACGAGCGCCAACGGCTTATCGAGCGGCAAGCGACAAACGTCTCAGCGTTGGTATGGAAAAGGCCAACAACAAAATGGAGTTTGTCGAAGCCAGGAAAGCAGAAGGGATGGGCAGGGGGAGCACCCGCCTTTGCATCCAGCGAATTTCCCTGCGCTCCCACGAGCGCGGAAGAGAGGGTTCAATACAGGGTCGGAAAAATCGATCAAAGGGAGCGTACCAGTGCCCACACTAGCTGGTAAGGCGTGGGCGAAGAAACTCTCTTCGGTCGTCTGAAACGCATCTCTCCCACCTTGATGTCCTCGCCTGTCTCGCTTGTAGCTAGAGCACACGACTCCGCAGAAGTGTGGCTGGATGACGCATACTCTACTGTAGATCTATCTTACAGTTACTATCGAACGGTATCCTGGGGTATGGTACCCTTCGGATACAGCATGAGCGGAGACAGATTTTGCGTTCAACTGCAACTGACTGGCTGTCGAAAGCGGTGGATCTTTCGTGATGATGAATAGGAACTGAAATCTGGCAAATAATAGTGAGCTTACGCAAACCGGATTCTACAGAATTCTGCAAACAATTCTGCAAAAAACATTACACTGAAATTGCATATACAGAATTCTGAAATCATGCCATGACAAAAAATGCGGAATTGTGAGATTTTAGTAAAGAGGACAAGTGGGCTCCGTGCGCGCTTCGCGCGCCAAGCCAAGTCCCTTCCTCCTCCGCTCCTCGTTCTGCACACGCTGTCGTTCCCCGCCCCGCTGCTCCCCCTCCCTCTGCGCTAACTCTCCCGTCTTCTCTCCGGTCTTTGTCGCCCCTTGCCCCCTCGTCCTGCCACACGTTACTCGCCCCTGCGCGTCGCGCCCGGTCCGCGCCGCCGCCCTCAGCGCCGCCGCCCGCCTGTGTCGCCTTCCCCCCCGGCCGCGGTTCGGTCCCTGCAGCCCGCAAACATGGTCAGCGCCGCTGCTCTCCACGCCGCCGCTCGCTTCTGCCTAACACTGCTACCTGGCGGCGGCTCTCGGCACCCACCCGCCTGCGCGCGCCCTCCTGCACCGCTGGCTGCGACACTTGCCCGGCTCGCAGCGACCACTTTCCCCGTTCTTCGCACCTCCGTGATGCGCGCGGCCCGCACCGCCGCCCTCCGCGCCACCGCTCTCACCACTACCTCGACCGCCCCTTCCCAAGCGCACCCGTCCACCACGTCCCCGCCCCGCAGGCACACCCCGCCCACCAGCCCGCAGAACGTCACTGCCACGCCCGCGTCCGTCCGCCCCGCCACTGCCACCCACCACGCACGTCGCCCGCCACATCTCGCCCCGCACGGCGCTCTTCGCCGCGTGCTGCCCGCTCATGTTGCGCACAAGCTCCACGCAGCACGCCACCACGCGCGATTCGCCCGCCCGCCGGTCCAGCAGAGTCTCCGCCGCCGCTTGGAACCGCTTTGCGTGGAGCTGCATGCACACCGCGTCCGCGATCTCGCGCGCACGCCCGTCCCACCCGCCGCACTCGCCCACCACGGCGTCAACGCCTGCCTCCGCTGCTACCCGGCACACCACGTCCGTCACCGTCTCTAAGCAACCCAGTTAGCGCCCGCTCGCCGTCGTGCCTCCCCCGCCCCCCAACACGCGCGCCCGGTTGAAGCCCGCTCGCCGTCCCGCCTCCCCCGCCCCCCGGCACGTGCGCCCGGTTGAAGACCCTTGTAGTACTCCACGCCGTCCAGCTCTGGCCCGGTCCGCTCCCGCGCCCTCCGCTCCCCCACGCGCACGCGCGAATGTGGTGACTGGGGGCCCCCCACCTACCCTCCCCTACCGTCCCCATCGCTGCCCCAGCCCACATCTCCTCCACGTCATCGCCGCACACCCAAAACCGCCCTCCGCTCACCATCATCTCGCAGCCCACCGTCCCTATCGCCGCCCGTCGCCGCCCCGGCCCTCACTTCCTCGTCGCCGCGCGTCCACATCCGCCCCCCAAAGTCGGAGCACCACGCGCTGCGCAACTCCGCCTTGAAGAATTCCGGCCCCCCCACGCACAGCCCCCCGCGCACCACCGCCCTGCTCACGTCGCCACGAGCCTCCGGTATTTCGGGCAGCCCCGTGTCTCACGCGTCCGCCCCCCTGTCGTACGCGTCCATCTACCACACCGCCGTCACGTGCTCGCAGTGCCCGCCCCAGTTCCGCCCACAATGTAGATCCGCGTGGCGCGGTCTAAACGGATCCGGGCTAAAATTTGTAGTGTACTGTAGCGCGGCCGCGCTCGGCAGTCCGCACAGTTATTTTAATTTTAAAATTTAACTTGTCGCCACTTGTCAGCCTGTACTGTAGTGGGGCCCCGCCCCGCAGTCCGCACAGTAATTTAATTTAAAATGTTACACTTGTCGCCGCTTGTAGCGCGGCCGCGCTCGGCAGTCCGCGCAGTTATTTTAATTTTAAATTTTAACTTGTCGCCACTTGTCAGCCTGTACTGTAGTGGGGCCCCGCCCCGCAGTCCGCACAGTAATTTTAATTTAAAATGTTACACTTGTCGCCACTTGTCACGGTAGCGCCAATGGCAACGCGGGAGCGCAAGGACATACAGACACACACACAGACAACGATTTTAGTAGTTGTAGACAAGTGGGCTCCGTGCGCGCTTCGCGCGCCGAGCCAAATCCCTTCTTTCTCCGCTCCTCGCCCCGCACCTCCCGCTCCGCCGTCCCTTCGTCTCTGGTCCACCATCGTTGCCGGCGTTCCCCGCCCCGCTGCTCCCTCGTCCTCTTCGCTACTGCTCTCGTCCTCTCTCCGGTCTTCTTCGCCCCTTTCCCCCTCGTCCTGCCACGCGTACCGCCCCTCCGTGCTCACTCTGGCTGCAGGTCGCGCTGCTCTCGCCACACTCGCCTCAGTCCTGCTCGCCACCCTTGCCCAGGCCGTTACCCTGGTCGCTACGGTTGGCACTCCCGTCTGCCTCAACCTCCGTACCGGCGAACCCGTGGCCCCCCGCCCACACTGCCCCCTCCCTCTCCCTGCTTCTGCTTCCGACTGTTTCGCCGCCGCCCGCGTTGCCTGGCGCATACGCAGCGAGGCGCTTCGCTTCCTCAATCCCCGCACTCCCACTTCCGTGCCTCTACCCTTTCGTTATTCTATGGCTCTCACGCTCTAGGCACACGCCCGCGCAATCACACCTCACCCGCTGCCCCGCCCTACTCCACCCGGCCCCTCTACTCGTGCGGCTCGCCCCGCTCCCTCCCGCCCTGCGGCGGCCTTGCCCTCTCCGTCGCCAGCCTCCGCCCCTGCTGCTGCTCTTGCCGCCCCCAAGTAACCGTGGCCTCGCGTGCCCGGGCTTGCACCCCCACCTCGCCTTCCGCTCCACCCATTTCGCCGCCTGTGCACCTCCCGCTCGGCTTCCTGCTCCGACCATTGCAGTTACTGCTCCCGACGTCCCCACCCTTGCTGCTGCTGCCGCTGCCCCTGCTTCGTCGCGTGTGCTCTCAGCGACTCTCCCGCCTCCGCTCTCCTGGTTGCCCTCCCCTCCTGCCTCCTTTGACCGCCCTACGATCCCTCCTCCCCTTATGATGCGGTTCCCCCATCCCCCGCCTGCCCGCCTCTTCTTGATCAAGCCGATCACAGCCACCTTCCCCTCTGCACGCCGTTTCCGTAGGCCCTCCTTCTCGTCCGTGGCGGTGCCGCTCCCGCACCCACAGTCATCGCAGTTAGTCAATCTTCCCTCTCGTACGCTGCGAACCCCGCAGAAGGAGCGCAGCACGACCGCCTGGGCGTCGATTCCCAGCCCCCCCTCACCCGCGCGCGTCTTCTTGCGCTGCCAGCTGCGACACCTGCCCGCCTCGCAGCGACGGTCTTCGGCGTTCCTCGCCCCTGCCCCTCGCGCCGGCGCTCGCCGCCACCCCCTTCCCCCCCGGGCGCGGTCCGGCCCCTTCCGCACGCGCTCTGCACTCACCTCTCGGGCCTCGTCAGCGGCCTCTGCCTTCACCCACCGTGCGCGACCCTCGCGACAGCGTGGCCATGCGGGCCCCCTCGCCCCCCGCCAGTGACACACCCTTTCCCCTCGCCGCTGCCGCCTCTGAGGTCATGCGGAATTTTTAAATGACCCACGTAATTTCTGCCCATCCCGTAGCCACCACGTGTCCTTGGTGGCCGCTTGGCCAGCGGCCAGGCCGCCCCGCAGCCCCCCGCCACTTGCCACCGCCACGTGTCCCCGTGGCGGCCTGGCCTGCGGCCAGGCTGCCCCTCACGTGGCCGTGACGTGTACGCCGTGTCGCCCCCGTGCGCCCAAAATTTGTGTTCCCACGAAAAGGCACATCGGAAAAATTGAAAATATTAGGCGCGCCAATCAGCACTGCGGCTTCTACAGAGCGCACCAATGGCAACGCTGGAACGCACAGACGCACAGACAGACACACTAGTAAAAAATGAAATTAAATCACGGCCCCGCCGCTTCCTACACGTGTCCGCGTGGCCGCCTGGCCTGCAGCCAGGCCGCCCCACACGTGGCCGCCACTTGTCGTGTCCGCGTGGCCGCGTGGCCTGCGGCCAGGCCGCCCCGCACGTGGCCGCCACTTGTCGCCGCAGCGCCCCCGTGCGCCAATGAGAACCCGTGCGGGAGCGCACGAACACACATACACAAACACACAGACAGACAGACACGGAAATTAGTATACGCGGGGATTTCTGCATGGTCGTGAGAAATGATAGGGACAGGTGTCGTGAAATTGGCGGGAGTTCGCGATAATGCATGCATGATAGAAGGTTACTCACTCGTGTTGTCGCTACAAACGTATACGCCATAGCACACAACGATGTCTCAAGTAGTTGGTTCGGAAACACAAGATCCAGCCCCACCATGTGGTAGGCAATCACGGTTCACACCGCAACAAGACCTCGCCATTGTCCGTGAGATAGCCGCAGTTCGAGCTCATTTGGCGGAGTTCAGTGAAACGAAGAAGAGATTTGCTACTGCAGCGGAAAGATTGCGTGAGAACATACACTTTCGGCACAAAAAACGTCGGTTGGAAGACAATTCAGGACCGATACAAAAGACTGCAGGACCTATATGACAAAAACGACTCCGAAAATCAAAGGTTGTCTGGAGTCCGTGGTGGGGAGATGGGAGAGTTGGCTGGCCTTTTGATGACATTGAGGGAGGCCAGAGATGATTGGGAAGCACAAAAGAAAACAGAGAAATTAGCAGAGAAAGGAAAAGAAGAAGACAAGGAACGCACACTTCGCGTATTGATGGTTGCAGCGCAAAAGCGCAAGTCATCGAAGGACTCGGAAACAGAAGAT